AGGCATGGTGGGGTGGTATATACCTGTAATAGCACAAGGGAGGCTGAGGCAGGAGGATCCTCATGAGTTCAAGATCAGCCTGGGCTACATAGCGAGACTGTCTAAAAATATAAAACAAAAACAAATAATAGATTATTGTTCATTTTTCCTTATTTTGTCATCATACAAAATTTCCTGGGACTGGGGATATAGCTCAGCGGCGTAAGTGCCAGCCTGGCAAGCGCTAAGTCCTGAGTTCAATCCCCAGTATTGCCAAAAAGAAAAAAAAAAAAGAAAGAAAATTTCCTTTGCACATAATCAAAACCTTCTCCTTTCACCACCAGCGTCTTGTAGCAGTCTCCCAGTTATCCCGGGTAGGAATCCTCTTGCCTTTTCCCCTTTCCCTCACAACTGACTTGTCACTTGCGTCTAGCTCTCCCCTTTGTGCTGTCTCTTTTAGCAGGAATGTTGCCCTCCTGTTAGAGCCATTTCACACTCACCTCTTCTTCAGAGTCCTGTCCATCTCGACACTTCATGAGGACTGGGGCTCAGCATTCTAATGTTTCATACCAGTGTCCTGTCTACCTGTGTCTCCACAGCCTTCTCTTGAGCATGGCTTGTATTTCTTCTGCTGCCTCTTTTTTTTTTTTTTTTTTTTAATTTATGTATTTGGTACAGGGTCTCACTACGGTGCAGCTAGGATTTGTAGTGATCCTCCTGTTTTCAGCCTTCCCAGTGCTGGGATTACGGGCTTGCACAACCACACCCGGATGGGGCTGGTGCAGTGCAGCGTGGGGGATGGAGATCAAACCCTGGTCCCTGTGCTTGCCAAAGCAGGCGCTTATTTCTGCTGCCTCTTAAAAATTGTCTTACATAACTCTTCCTCTAGACCATAAATGCATTGATCTGTCGGCCTCTGCATAGCCCGTAGATTGCTGATTTCCACGAGGAATGCTTATCTTTGTTGAACAAGGAACACAGAAGAAGAACTATTTTACTAGAAGTAATAAAGAGATGAAAGGACGTTAATGTACAGAGTTGGATGGCAAAGCTTATAGACGGTGCCTGCCAAAATCCATCCTCCTAGATCCATGCTAGTTTTCATAAATCTTACGTGGAACTGTATTTGCAAGGCAAGCATTTCATATTTACTTTTCCACCAGCTTTAGATTTCGTGTTTGAGGATGAACTTCCGTAGCTGGGGCAAAATGAAGCGACGAGGGTCAGCCACCACCTCACCGCTGCACAGAGCTTCCTGTAGTGCGAGATCTTATCTAAGCCTCTGATGCAGCATTTAGGAGCAGATGTGTTATGTTAGCCACAGCCCCCTCATGCTGAGGCTCTCTGAATGTATATCTGGAGGAACAAGCACTCTTTCTTCTGCGTTAATAAAAATGGACTGCAAGAGCTGTCTTTTATGTCTGCCCTTAATGGGGCCATTAAGTATATTGTGCATAGTAAATTGATGGAATACTGGCTAGGTTATAGTACTGTGGTATTTATATCTTGGCCTAAGGCACAGAAGCTCTTTAATTTAATATGAACCCCTCTAAAAATTCATGGATTTTTAAAAATCTCTATTTTTCCCTATATTTCCTTCTCCTTGCTCTTTTTCTTTATGCAATGTACTTTCTCTTTCTTTTCAAAACCTATATACATGATAGCGTGCAAAGACCATCTCTTAGTTACTATACATCTTCTCACTTTTACAGATACACGTTTGTTTCAGAAGAACCAAGTTCAAAAGCTCAACATTTGGGTCTGCATAGTATTGGAGAAGTAGTATTCTTGAAAATGCCTGTACTTTGTGGTACTCTTTCCTGAATGGGTCTATTTAAGCAGCTGATCCTGCAGTTTGACCTTATTTGAAAGTTATGGAGCTAGATAGTATAAAGTCCCTTTTCAACAGTGCGTGTATGTTGCACTTGCCTTTTATAGGTTTGCCTTAGTGAAATGAGAGCACACATACGGACTTGTGAGAAGTACATTGACACGTACGGACCGCTGCAAGAGCTTGAGGAGACGACCACGAGGTTTGTTTTAATTCCAAATAATTTAATGGTAAACCTATTATATCTATAAAGAATGTAATGAGCTTGGAAAGTTTAATATTTTCATTATGAAAATATTTACGAGTAGGCTTTTTACTATGTGATTACTTGTATTTACTTGATAATAGTAATGGTTTCAAAGAATTTTGTTCTGCTTCAAAAACTGTGCAGAGGGAAGGGACTAACCACACGTTAGAAACCCTGGAGCAACTTCCTGAGCTGTTTCTACTAAGGAAGACCCAAAAATAGAATGTAGAACTAGCAGATTTCTTCTAGACTCCACTTTCAGACTAACAGATTCCTCAAGTAGATTGTGATTAAATGTTATTTAGGGGTGGGTGAGATAGCTTAGCGGCCTAAAGCGCCTGCTTAGGCAAGCTAAGGCAAGCCCCAGGACCGTGGTTCCATCCCGGGTACCACATGCCACACCAGCCCTGCCCCCAGGGCAGGCTGAGTGGGCCACCAAAAAAAAAAAAAAATGTTATTTATCTTTACTCTTTGATCTCCACTGCCTCTGCTCAGTTTCTCAGTTCTTCTCTTGCCTTGCTAGTTTCTCTTTAGAACTAGGAAGTAGCATCACTGTGTGTTATTGAGCAAGGGGAAGAAGGACAGGCCTGGGCAGGGGTCCTGATTCGTTAGCCTTTGTGGTGGGTGATTTTATGTGGTGCTAGGGAAGGACAGAGATGGCTAATCAGTGTAAGGGAGACTGTTGATCATTAACTAGTTTTTCCTAAGAAAACAAGCTGAAAATAGGTCTTCAGTCTTGACAGAAAAGATAACAGCTATATCAGAGTAATTAAAAAGTTTAGAGTCTGCCCATCTTATAAAATAAAGAAATGCTTTGTGTTCTACCTAGGCTGGTGGCTTTATCACTCTTACAAGTACTCAGGAAAATACTGGTAGTCAGTATAGGTTCTCTTCCTGAACAAAAATGTTAGTTTGACCTAAATCTATTTAAAATATGGCTTCAGTACCTTAGGCTGAAAATCTTAATGATTAACCCATAGGGTTCTTTTTTTATTTGTTTGTTTGTTTTACCAAAGGTCGCCTTGTCAACATGCCTGTTCATATAGCAGTACTTTGTGTGATGTCATCACAAATTCTAAGTGACTTAGCCAGTAGGGCGTGGGTTCTGCTAGGCTGGCCACAAGGACCTGTAGGAAGAAAAGATGGCATATGGTTTGAGAGGAAGTGTGTGGGTTTGATGCTAAAACTGATGTGAGCTTTGTGGAAATTTAAAAGTGTACAAAACCCAATTGAAATCCTAATTTCTTTTGCTGGTTGAAACTACATCACAATGAATTTAAGAAATAGATGTGGCTGAGGGCATAATTCATGGTTAGAATACTTACTTGCCAAAGGGGGACTGGGGAGATGGCTTAGTAGAATAAATGCTTGCCTGGCAAGTGCAAGGGCCTGAGTTCAATCCCTGGTACCACCAAAAAAAAATATTTACTTGCTGAGCTCTAACACCACAGAGGGAAATATAGAGAGGGTTGTTGATAGTCTCGTAGGTCAGATTAATCTTTTCATTTATCATAGAAATCTTTGATTTGTAGGAGAATTTGCTGTAGGGCTCACATCTTAGATCTTCCTCAAGAAGCTTCTCCAGAGTACAAGTGTTGGGGAGGAGGAAGTTATATCTGTGTGGTGTGACTAAAAAAAATAAGAGGGGGGCCGGGGAGATGGCTAAGTGGAATAAGCGCTTCCCTGGCAAGGGCAAGGGCCTGAGTTCAATCCCGGGTTCTGCAAAAAAAAAAAAAAAAAAGTAAGAGGCCTGGCCAAATAGCTCAGCAGATTAAAGCACCTGCAAGCAGGCTCCGGGGGCCAGGGATCTGATCCCCAGGGCCTGCTGAGCCGGCCCTGCCCCGTGGGCACCCTGAGACAACAATTGAGACTGAGCATGGTGGCGTGTGCCTATAATCCCCACACTTGGGAGGCTGGAAAAGGCAGATCACAGAGAGTCTGATTTAGTAGTGAGACTCTGAACACCCTGTAGACCCTCCCCCCCAAAAAATAAAAAAAGTATGATGAATGTTTAAATGTTTAACTGAAGTTATTATAATAAAAGATACATTGTGGAGGGGTTGAAGTGCAGGTAGGGGAATGAGAAGAAAAACTACTCAAGTTATAGCAAGTACAGATACTGATTCCCTATAATTAATGTGATCATTATACATATCTAAAATGTACCAATACAGTTAATTAATAAAAAAGATATATTGACAGGAGCCCCTTGCAAAATACTCTAGCTTCAAATACCCCTTATCCCATCTTCTTGCCACTTTCTGAAACAGTTCTGGAAGACCTCTTTCATGAGTGTCATTCCATGGCTTTCTTGATATACTGATTCAAAGTATACCCTGGCAGGGCCAGGGAGATGGCTGAGTGGCGGAAGCACCTGCCTGGCAAGTATAAGGCCCTGAGTTCAATCTCCGGTACCAAAATATACCTGGGAATTTCTATCAAACAAACAAATAAAAACACCCAACAACCATGTTGTACATTCTCAGCCACACTTTCTCCACTGGATCTGGTACTGTGCGGCTTCTCGGTCTTTCCCAAGGTCAAAATGATCATGAAAGATAAATGTTGTGAATCCATTCGGGCCGTGAAGACAGCCATGACAGTGAAACTGAAGACACTAATGACGGAGGACTTCCCAAGCTGCTCCAAAAAGTGGCATGAAGGATGGAATAATGTTTGAAGTATGGGGGAATATTTTGAGGGAGATTAATGACAATTTGTCTTTCACTATAATTTTAAAAAATTTAAACATTTACCGTATTTTTTGTTTGTTCATTTTTTTCTCTTTTTGAGACAGGGTCTTGCTATGCTGTTTAGGCTGGCCTTGAGCTCACTTTGTAGCCCAGGCTGGTCTGAAATTCACAATAATCCTTCTGCCTCAGCCTCCTGAGCACTAGGATTTTTTTTTTTTTTCCAGAACTGGGGATTGAACTTATACCCTTGTGCTTGCCAGGGAAGTGCTTATTCCACTGAGCATCTCCCCAGCCCCTCTGAGCACTAGGATTATAGGCATGCACCGTTATGCCTAGCTGTCATATTTTTTAAAAAAATCTAAACCTACATATTATTCCTCAGACTATAAGGCAATATCTGACAGAAATAACATCAGTATATCATTTAAATTTTTCTAGTAATAATACTTTAAGA